CTCCTGTTTAATTTTTCTTATCCCTAAAAGCATGGTCTAGGTGACACAACAGTAAAAGACCTCTTTTGAACTTTCTGGAGGCCTGTAGAGGATTGCCTTCCTTCACTGAAAGCATATATATAGTCTGCAGATTTCTGTCATGCCTTCTAAATGCAGACAAACACAAGACATGGATTAAAGAATGAAAAGACAAAGTTTTAAAATTCCTAAATAAATTCAGAAACTTGGAGCCTGTTTCAAGTTGCGATTCTGCCTTTTTTTTTTCTTTTCCCCCCCGTGTCATAATACTACAATGCAGCTGCACAACAGTGAAAATTGAGTGGTGCTTCAACTTGTGGTTCTGGGGGTTTTTGTTGGTTTTTTTTTTTGGTTTTTTTTGTTTTTTTTTTTTTTTTTTTTTCAAAATCTGTAATACCTCCAGCTGCTTTCTTTCAGCTTCAGAAGGGTCTCTTGTCACTAGTGTTGCCTTGCTGTCCAGTCTCCTGTTTTTTTTTTAAATTTTTTTAAAAAAAAAACAACCAAAAAAGAACAGCACAGCATGTGCCTTGTGGAAGACTTTAAGGACTAGCACTGAGCTAATGTGAGGAGGGTGGTAGTTACCAGTATCACTTTGAGATGTGATGTTTCTCTTCTGCATTCCCAAGAGAAGCTTTTAGTAACGATGTTCACAGCAGACACTACAGTATTTGAACTAATAATGTTTAACTCTTTCTTCCATTTGCAGCTAGGGTGGCAAAACACAAAAGAACCTCAGGATGTCTGTAATTCAGCAAGGGACAGCAACACTTCGTAAAGCAAAGAAAATCACTGTAAAAACGTGTTTAGATAACCCCTTTGTTTTTCAATGGAAAACCATAGATGGAGAAGATATGCATTTTATACTACAGACCTTAGAAGAAAGGATTAAACACATTGGACTTAAAAAGATTGAGACTCCAAGAAAGAAAAAACGTTCCCTTACAAAAAAACAAATGGAAAAAAAGTGTGATGCTAGCAGCAATGAACTACCTAAAGAAGAGGAAGCAGAAGGCCATCAACAAAAACCAGGATGGACTGACATAAGTATCAGAAGACAGCTTGCTATTGGGGTTAATGAAGTTACAAAAGCATTGGAAAAAAATGAACTTCTTCTCTTGCTGGTATGCAAGTCTGCAAAACCGGCCATGATCACATCGCATCTTATTCAGCTGAGTGCAAGTCGAGCCACACCAGCAGGCCAGGTTCCCCGTCTCAGTGAAACAGTTGCACCACTTCTTGGTTTAACATCTATTTTAGCACTAGGTTTTAAAAAGCAGTCTGATAAATTCACTGAAGCAATAGAAGCAATAATTCCAAAGATACCAGCTTTGGAAGTGCCATGGTTTCCGTACAGAACCGAAGAATCCATTGCTTATGCACATACAGATTCTTCAGAAAATCAGGAACCCGAGCAGCTTGCAGAGGTGCTGGGGGATGAGCTCACAAGCCAGAAGCGGAAGCGTACGGAAAGCAATCAGCTCGATCTTTCAAATGTAATTTTGCACCCTTTGAAAATCAAGAAACTTGTTCCAAATCCAAATAAGATAAAGAAACCACCTCGCAAAAAGAAAAAAGCTTTTTCAGCATAACTTTTTTAGTTCGGTTCTTCATATTAAATTAATTTTTTTAATGCAGTATGGAGTACAGCTCTAACTAAACGATTCTGTTAGGCTTTACAGTGTAAAGCACTTGAATACAAGGTGAACTTTATGTTGTATTCAGCTGAGGTACGTTCTACTTTAATAAAGGATATTGCTCAAACTTGCGAGTCTTTACCTGGCGCTAAATATTTCATTTCTAGTTGGAGATCACAGAGTTAAAATCGGTAATAAATATGCTGAAGTAATTTAAGACATAAGGACATTAAAGCATTAAACAAACTTTGTATTTTTATACAGATGAACATGCTTCAAGCAAAATGGATTCGAGTGAAGTATAATTATTCAAACAAATCAATACCAAAAGTGAAAGTTTATTTAAACAAAGGTCCATGCTGGCATAACTCTTTTAAAGCTGGTTCAATGCTTGTTTCAAGTAAAGAGCTGTAACAGCACAGGTGGACTTCCCTTTTGAACTTTCATAGTTTGCTCTGCTGAACAATAAACTTGTTTTGGCCAAGAATGTATGCAGACTTGGGTTCCATCTAATAGCTGGTGACTGATATGCTGAAGGAAAAGCTTTTATTTTCAAATACAGAACAAAACCAAGTTACTACTGCTGCATTTTGAAGAAAAGACTTCCATATGTAAACTAACCTAAACTCAATTTGATTTCTAAAAGAAGTCTAAAATTACTTCCTGGGAAATTGAGATAAGCAATATACTGTTGTATATAAAGCAGATGACAGCTATAACCACTACAAGACTGAAAACATACCACATAACTTTCAAGTTTCCTTTACTTTTACTGGGGACTACGAACAATTTCCTCAGGAGACAGCTGTGTTGTAGGAAGGAAAGGGAATAGTGCTGCAATTCAGAAAATCAAAATCAACAGCCTAGGAATTTACTTGGCGCTCTTACATTTTAAGTAGAAGTCAGAACAGTACTGAGTAACAAAGTAGAAAATACCTTACCTGAGTTACTTTGTTGTTCTTTAAAGATGGAAATGACATGTTGTGGTTTTCGGAGATCTGCTAATCCAGACTTCCAGGGCCATTAGATAGCTAATCTGTATTTTGGATTTATTTAGAAGTGACGTTACTTCGTGATACTAACTACAAAGGGAGGCAGTAGCAATGATTGTGTAGTCATGATGCTCCCTGAAGTTTAAACAAAACTAAGACATTCGATGCCAAAACTTTTACCCTCCCTGGCTGAGGGTGGCAAGAGGTGAGGGTGTTTGGTTTTTTTTGCTTCGCTTCGTAGTCCTTCATACAGGTCCTTTGTTTTGGCTTTTTGGATGAATAAAACTTTGAAGGCATGCCAACACTACTGTATTTAATTCCCATGGTGGCTAACTGTAACATTTAAATCTTGGCCTTTCAACAGAGCATGAGGATTAGCTTTGGTGAAGAACAAGCGCAGCAATCCTCTTTCAAGCGCTTTGCTGCCTGCCCAGGTCTATAGCTCTCTTCAGGGATTTGTGTCCCCTCTGCAGATAGGAACAGAACTTGCCAGGAACTGCCCCAACACTCGGGCTCAGATGCCTGCTTCTCTCGCACTGTGTGTTCTCTCTCAGCTACAGCGCTGCACAGCTTCTACAGGAGCACAACTCCGCCCTCTTTCCCCTCAGTTAACATGCAGCGTGAGTCAGAAAAGGAGACAAAGTTTACCCTTTGGATTCAGAAGCAAATGGCACTGTTTCTCCAAAAGACAGCATAGGAGTGGCCACACTCATTCCTTCATGGACAGCTACCCCAAGATTAGGGCAGAAAGCCAGGCTGCAGGAAGCCCAGGTTCAAGTTTGTCTTCTACCTGACACATTTGGTCCCATCGTGGTCTCAACGCTTTTCCAAACAATAGTACTGAGGAGGATTTGCCTTCTGATTTCAGAGAAGAGAGGAGAAAATAAAACAGCTGCCTACCATTTCTTCCACTTGCATTTTTTTTGAGGGGAGGGAACGCAGAGAACATGAGCATTCTCTTTCACCTGGCAGTCAAAACCATCCAGTCGGATGAGGGAGAGCTGGGCCATGATCATTTCTCAGCATGGAGAGACCTTAGCCACGAGCACAGAGCTATGCCCTGCTGTCCCACCTCACGTTAGGCAGCAGCTCAGCAAGGATTGCTGAGGCTCTGGCTTTAGAGCCAAAGCAGAATGCACCGAGCCCCTTGGTGAACCGCCTCCTCCTCCCAGCAGGCTCCAATGCGAATGCCCAGCCAGGAAGGCACCTTCCTGCCTTTTGGGAGTTAAGAACTTAAGTCTTCAATGGAGTTGACATTAAATCCTTCTTGCTACCTCAGATACCACTACCATCGATACCATTTTCAGGCACTTAATTCTGCTCAGGCCTCACACAGGGAGTCCAAGCTCCCTCTGCACTATCTGTTATGACTGCTCCTAGCAGACAGGTGTCAGAGTGGCCAAAATCGTAAAGCCCAACTGCACCATTAGATGTCTGAAAGATCTCCTTTGAAGCCCTTTTAAATTCATGATGTCCCGAGCTGGTGAACACCCAGGGGTCAGACAAACCACGTTCAATCCCTTCCTTTGTTTGAAGGAGGTTGAATTCTTTAATCACAGAGCTGTAACGCAATAAGGGAAAGTATCACTGTCTCTAGGGCAGAATCCTCTCACCACAATTCAACAAGAAAAAGAAACCAAACCACAAACCATTCACGCATGGGAAAAGGAGAAGGAAGAAAGAAAAACCCCACTGATATAAGGAGGTGGGTAGGGCTAGCAGTTATGAAGAACAGACAAATTTATCTTCATCTAAATTGATGTTTTCAGGTACAGAATTCAACTTTCAGCAAAATCTGCTGTCAGAATTACAGGCATGTTTAAAAGGAAAGTTTACACATTTGCATTTCATGAGATATTCAAGTCACATTCAAAAGATGCTCACAGCACAGAGGCTTCACTAACCACAGTTTGGCACTTTCAGCTAGAACAGTTTCTTACCGCAGATTTGCTCGGTGCTCACGTTACTGCAGCATCCATGAGCTGAAAGAACTGCTACCATATCTAGCTATGACGCTACGCTGGGATGCATATAAAGTGCTTCAGAAGCTGCTCTGGTTGCCGAGCATTCATGAGGGAATTAAAACAGCTCTCCCCAACAACAATCAGCCCTCCTACATTTCAGGAAGTGCAGTACAGAAACTTCCAAGGACTGAGGGTAGAGCTTTTCTCTTCTGCTTACCAGCCACATATATAGCAAAACTTCTTGTTCCAAAGTCAGGATAAAAACACTACCAGGAACAATTTATGAATACGTATTTACACAAGATACTTTTCATTAGAATTACAGACTTCATAGGAAATCAAAGTAGACAAAGGAATATGTGCAATTTCGCAGAAGCGTTGAAAACATTCAAACTATAAATATCCTGATAGCACTACTAAAATTCTTAGTTTTACACACAGGCTGATGTTATTCTACTGAGGAAAAACTAAGGTTTTGTGCCACAACTGTAAATCAAGTACAGTAATGTATTATCATTCCGGCAACATAGGTAACACCTGCACTGAACAGTGCGATACTGTTAAATCAATCCACTGATCTATTGAAGATCAAAGTACAAATCTGTATTTTTATTGATTTGGCAGCGTTGCTTATGGAGAAACAAATGCACTAGTTAAACCAGTACATTGTCATACTGCTCCAGTTACAAAAACATCCAGGACTTTCATAGAGCTACAAACGTATCGTACTCCAGGATTTTACCCCAAATGATGATATCCATGTGAAGTAAATAAGCAAAGATACTCAAGTTTGTATCCTTCATTCTGTTACACTGACATACATACACCACCACTTAATAAATAGAAATGCAGCAGTTCATCCACATAATAGCAAATATTTTTGTACCCTAATCCACCACTGAAGTTCAGTTTGTACAAAACAGTCTTTTCTACAGAGTGGAAAAAAAATACCTTCTTCTCATCAAGGTGCAAGCTAAGCTTTTAAACTTAAATGAATGTGCTTTTTTTCTTTTCATGGACAATAAAAGAGTTTCATGGACCTTCTGATCTATCTGAAAATGCATAAATTTGGTCACATATGGATGTCTTCATTGTTCAGGTTTAATGGACAATTTCAGTATCACTGACGTTGTGCTTTTACTCCTCTTGAACAACACTGTTCCAAGAGTTATGGAGATCAAATTAACTCAAATGATGACCTCAGAGTTCTAGAAACATAAGTGTCCTCATTGTAATACAAGACCAACCTAAAGGAAGAAGAAAAATACAGGATTTTAGTTCAAGTATGCCAATAAATCTAAACATTGTTAGTTTTCTGGACCTCAATCATGGATCTTAAATATGACCAATTTAAGAAGTTACTTTAAAAGTTCTGCCCATTTTGGCCAATGTAGATTAATGTACTATTATACCTAACAGAATTCAGAAGCTCTTTTTTTCTCCCTTACCTTTTCGGATTCCATGCCAGGACACCTCCAGTTGTACAAATAATACTGCAAATTTCCGTCTCCAATCCCAAACTTGAGTTTTTCCAGGAATGTTTTGTTTTCCATTAAGTCTAGTGCATTGAACACATCAAATCCTTTCTGGCAATAGCAAAACATTTTTTAAATTTTACTTTTTAAAGTTTCAAATGACACACAAATGATACTTTACACAGTGGCATACAATATCCAAGAGACTAGTCTAATTAAGTGGAAAAAAAGACAAGGGAATAAATCTTCCCTTTTAATTAGGTGTACACACAAAGAAATTTTCGCAATAGAAAGTGAAGTATAGGGCACAACTTTGCTTGAAGATTATCTCCAAAAGGGTAGGAATTTTAAAGCCACTTGCAGGGGTAAAGGTCTGAAGAGTCCCTAAAGCATTATCCATTATTTTATCCTTATAGATATGCATTTTTTAGTCACATACAGTGTTGACACACATGGCCTATTCCAGCTAAAGCATACAGCTAATGGTGTTTTTCAGCCATTTATCATTCTGTTAATGACAAACATTGTATTCTTGTGATTTGGTCCTTTTCTGAAATGCCACGGTCTTTAGAACTCCGATCTTTCATGTGTTACCCTCCCTCCCCTACTCATGCACCCTCCACCAACTCCTCTTTTCATCAGCCTCCCAAATTCACCACTCAAAGAGCCATTTTGCTCTCAGAATAGCCACAGAGCCGAATTAGTCTCGGGGTTTTGTGTGGCAACACAAACATACTCAAATCCCAACTCACTGTAAACTCTTAAGCAGCAACATAAAAACAAGGTCAGTCAAGCCATCACAGCAACAATCATCATGTATAAATAGATGAATTTTCCTGGGGCTCTGGATGTAAAGTCCATTTATTTGCAATTAACTGCAAGGGAGTCTGACCTAAGGTCTTGGAGTCTTAACAACATAAAGGCAGTGCACCAGCAGGACCTTCTATACCCTAAGATAAAAGTAAGTTACAAAACAATAATGATCAGTTACTTAAGCACAAGAAGATGCTAAGGAACATTCCTTACTCCGTATAAAAACTGGATGTATTTTTTTTCTTTTAAATAAGCACCTCATATCAGGAAAAAAGGGGGTTGAACAAAAAGAGCATTTTAAGCTCTCCATCAGTTTAGGACTATTTAAAAGTAACTCACAAAGCACAGTCAGTTTAGTAAGGCTCCCCACTACATTACACAAAGATCATTCTGTGTGCACATGAAGCTATGCTAAGTTAAATGTGCTGTGAAAAACACACAAGAACAAGAAAAATAAGGTGGCAAGGATTTGACACCTGGCATCTAAAGAAGTAAATTTTTTAATATTCTAAGTTAGTAATAGACAGTAACAGAAATCTTAGAAAGCAGGAAGGGAAGTGGAGGAAAACAGAGACACACCATATGTGCAAACACACTAATGAAGCTCTGCAATTAAGCACTCAAAATTCAAATAAATGATAAAGTCTACAGATGTAGTTTTAATTCAATATCTAAACATCAGCAGATTAGGTTCAGCTTAATATCTTCTGAGAGGTATAAAAAAGTTCCTGTTCAAAGATACTTGCTCCACAGCTCTGAGAGACCATTAGAGCAGACTCAGAAGTGAACTTCTTCCCTGTTTATAAGCTCTCTCCTGTTCTAGGTCTAGAAACTTAGTGTCAGCTTCAACAATAAAATACGCAGGGTTTTGGCAGGGATTATCCTGCTGCAAAATCCCACTCTATTCATGAAAAATACACGGAATTCCAAATTTTCAGTTTTGCTTTAGAGGTCAGGTATTTTGTTCTACAATTGCCAAGATTTTACTAGACTTAGAACCAAGCTAATTTTATACACTTTAATATGAAGATTAAAAAAAAAAAATCAACATTAAACTGATATGCAAACCCTGAAAGCAATTTGCCAAGCTGAATTTGTACCTCCAAAGTGCATTCTTTGGGAGTAAAAGTACAGAAGGGACAATGGTGGGTTGTCACCAGCCAAGAGCCAAACACGCACCCAGCCTTTTGCTCACTCCTCTCCCATGGGATGGGGAGAAAGTAGAAGGAAGGCAAAGCAGCTTGTGAATTGAAATGAGAAAGCAAAAGCTGCATGCACAAGCAAAGCAAAAAGAGGAATTCATTCACTACCTCCCATCGACAGGCAGATGTCAAGCCACTTCCTGGAAAACAAGGTCTCAACATGCATAACGGTTGTGTGGGAAGGTAAGTGCCATAACCAGAAGCATTCCCCCTTCCTCCTCCTTTCCTTCAGCCTTTATGGCGCATCACAACATCATATGGTGTGGAATATCCCTTTGGTCAGCTGGAGTCAGCTGTCCTGGCTCTGTCCCCTCCCAACTTCTTGCCCACCCTCCGCCTGCTCACCGGGGCTAAAAGAGAGAAAGCCTTGAGGCTCTGCAAGCACTGTTCAGCAACAGCCAAAACACGGGTGTGTTATCAGCCCTGTTTTAGTCACAAATACAAAGCACAGCACCATATGGGCTGCTACGAAGAAAGTTAACTCCCTCCCAGCCAGACCCAGTACATTTGTAAACAAAAAGCTCTAAACAGGACTACATTTATTAATTCTCTTCCCTTGCCTCACTTCTCCCCATCTAAAAGTCCAAGTGCCAGATTTGCAAATGTAATTAGGCATCTAATGATGCAGACAGGCCCAGTAGGTACTTTGGAAATCCACAAGCACCTAAATCCCAGTCTTCTAACTATATGATCATCCATTTAAAATAAAGAATCACGTCACATTCAGAGAGAAATGTAGACAGGGGAAGGTGCAAAGCCTTGCTGTTAGACCATGCAACTGCTATCTTACCCATTCTGTCTGTGGCCCAGCGAGTGGCCAGCCACTCAGCTCCCTATGTCACACTTCAAATGCAGACCACGGTTTATTCCCTTTTCCACTTTGACTTCTAAGAATAAGTAGTAATATTATTTTTAGCCACTTCTGAAAATTATACTGGCCACTTTCCTGTATCTTCATATATCTTAATAACTTTCAAAATCTGTCTCTGAACTTCCTTTGGTATTATTCTGGAGCCTGAATAATGGGGTTCTATATTTCCCATGACTATCCAGGGATTTGCCTTGCCAAATAGTTATTCAACTCAATACTGCTTATAGGTTAACAAGCCTCAGCAAGCAGTTCACGTCATAGGTATCAGCTCAGCTGCGGCGCTGCACGAACATGGCTGAGACGGACAAGTTGAAGACTCTGTGGCTGCTTTCATGCAGCCTGAAATCTGAATAGATACAGCCTTTGCAGACCATCACTGGCTTCACACAGAATCAACACAGAAATCCCTGTGCCACATGCAGTGCAGACGGCTCTGAACATGGTCGGCTGGAGCACAGCTAGCACTTGCTTGTGAGCACTCATCTGGTAGGTGTAACACCACAAGCAGTGGGGCAGCAACACGTCACCTGGGAGGGGCAAGCTTCAAGCATGAGTAGCAGAAAACATGCCTATGCTCTGCAGCATGTTGGGAATGGTTGCTAGAATGGATATCATGGACTGGATGAAGCCTGTGCAGTGCTGTGAATTGCCAGGGCTAAATAGGTCTCTGAGAATTCATTCAGAGTGCTGGGATGTGCATCACCTACACAACTCCGAACCACGGACTACATTGCCATTGGTGTTTGCACTGCACTCCCATGAAACCCTGATGATTAAGGGCTGAGCGTTAGTTTTTCATCAGACAGCACTAAAATCTTACAATTCTTATGTTTAAAATCTTCATTTATAGTCTCTTCCCTTCCATTCAAGTAAACCGTGTATCAGTGTAATTCCATGCATGTAGGTGTGCTTAAAAGCTACATGACATCACCTACAGAGCTTTACAGGCAGCAATTAGTAACCAGATAAAAGTGATAAAGCTTGCACAAATAAGGTTTTACATTCTGTAGAAATAAAAAATCGTTTAAACAAAGACTTATTTAATAGAATTATTAACCCATTTCCAAGCGAAACTATTTTAGTGATACTTTCCATTCTTCTGGTACTTAGTGAATATGGTCATCAGCATACTCTTGGATGTTTACACAGTTCAAGCTTTTGCAAACACTTGATCTTCATGCACTTGTCATTCCCTAGCATCACTCAAAGTAAAAAGGAAAAAAAAAAAAAGTCTCATCAACTGCACCCTGTGCTGCAGACAGTAAAAAAAAACAGAATGCAATGGCATGAATAAATTGCTGCCAGTTCTTATCTTGCCACCACTCCTAAGAATACTTTTGTGAAAGAAGCAGATGCAAAAAACCCCACAACTTACCAATTTAGCTATAATGAGTGCATCATTCATTAAGTCCAAGAGGGGGGTCTCTGTATGAATATTGTAAAAGGAGTAGGCAGCTTTGAGGCTTTTATGAACAGGATGGTGCATCACTGTTGAAGGTAATGTGTAGAAACTCAGGAAGTCTGTTAAAATACCATTTGAGCCCTACAAAAAAAATAGAAATTAATTAGTAAGAAGTAACTGCCCAGTTATTGGTTAGGCTAACATGGTAGTTCTACAGAAAGTAAGTACTAAATGCAGACAGTTTTGCACACAGTAAGTACTATGGTATAGCAGGTAATCTTGGCTAAGATTTGAAGAAACTAAATTCTTGCCAGAAAGACTTATCTATACATCAAAGTGAGACCGAAGCCTGAAACAGTCCCTTCAGAAAAGGAAACAAACATTTAGATTTTTGTAGTCTATTACACCAACAACAATTTTCTCAGCTTTCTAAAAACAGAAAAAAAATATCCTGTGCTATATATAATGTAAATATACAAAGCATATTTAAATCATCTCTAGTGATTATTAATCAATAAGCAGCTAATAAAGTTTAACCATCTTCAAGAGTGTAGATTAGTAGGAAATGTGAAAAAATGACATGGGTTATGACTGACATGCTGAGCACAAAAAAACCCATCCAGATTTTCACTCCTATTCTGACTGGGTCTCCTGATACCTCCAACAAGATAAAGCAAAGGAGACACACAAATGCTTGTTCTTGCTTGTTTGCTTTATTTTTGAATGACTGGTGCTCACTATTTTGAGCTCAATGAAGGATCACACAGGGATCCTTAAATTGATAGTACTTCTACAGTAAAAACTAAGAGTTGAACCCATCACGTGCAAAAAAGCTATTGTTTTAGAGATAAAATAACAACAAGTAACAGAAAAGTTGTCACTCACTAAATTCAGTAAGGATGATGAAAATATTCATTCAGGAATTATACATTTTATTTTATACATTATATACATTATATATTATTTTTAACATTTTAGCTCTGCACATTACAAAGATGACTTAAAAATATGACACTGATTTCTCCAGGTCACACAGATCTTACAAAGATTTTAAGCACTAACAAACCTACATTTTGTATAGTGAAAAACTAATTCAAGAGATGGTATAAAACAAGCAAGTGAAGACTGCACTGTTCAGTTAAAATGGCACTGTCAGTGGCACACTGATGCTGATCCTGGTGCTTGTGGACTCCTCTGTAGGCTTCAACTCGTCAAGAAAGCCAAAAACCAACCCAGGGAGTGGGGTGGGGGGAAGAAGAGAGGGTTGAGAAAGAAGGAGGGACAATAAATTAAATTAGACCATGGAGGAGTCCAGTGAGCACTAGACCCACTACAAAGTAAGCAAAAAGTTACGCTTGGACAATGACAACCAATGAACAGGACCTCTCATCTCCAGCAGCACTAAATTCAGCTGAGACTCCTGCACCAGTTCAGGTTGCAGTGCAGGAACACTTAGCTTCAAACCTGCAGCTTCCGTGAGGAGCTGGTAGGTTTAAGGATCTTAGTGCTGATCATTTTCAAATAACCTTATCACTTTAAACAAAGTAATACACTATCTAAATACAATGTCTGCAACTGATTCAGCACGGACTCAAAGGGAAGAGTGCATCTTTCTCCACCAGCTGTATCACAGCTATTCCAATCACACCTTGGAGATTTCCAATCCAAATGCTAATCTATTCCTGCACTGCTTATTTTGTGAGAAGTGTTGTGAGCCACAGGCTGGAGGGTGGGGGTGGTAGGATGAGGAGGAAAGAATAAGTGGTAGGAACACATGATGCTCTCCATCTTGTTAGTGGACAGAGATAATTTTCAAGATAATTGAACTCCTAGCTGACAGAAATTCATGACAGCACCAAGGGATGTTAGCTTTTACTTCTCTATTTTACATATACTCATGTTTATATGTGTGTATATATACACATACAAATTCACACATACACACACTCACACTCTTTTACTGGAAAAAAAGTATTTTACTGAAGCAGACCATCAAAAAACATAATTCCCCCAGCAGATGCCCTAAAATCGGTTTTAAAAATGAAGAATTTTGAACTGGTATATGGCAGAAACTTAGACACCTGAGAGAATGATACTGAATTCAAACCAAATCCTTATCTCACTCATTGTATTGTTCTTCCTTTTCTCTAGGAAAGGAGATTTGAAGACCACTGCTTATTATCATGTCATAACTCTATGGAAAAAAATGGAAGAATGCAGATGGAAGGGTTGTCTTTAAAATATGTAAGGATCTTTGCTGTAATATTTCCAAGATAATAATGTTTTCAGATTTCAAAATTCTTCTTTAAAATATCCTGTTATAAGAGCACTGCAGTTTATCACAACCAAACATCTTCTCATTAACAGAATGCAATACAAAGAACAAAGCTTGGAATTGTGGTATCAACTTCTATCTATAGCACACATTTTTTGAGCTGTCTGCATTTCAAAAACTTGATGTTGATATGAACTTTTGTAAGTGGCATTCACATATACATTAATGAAGTAGTTACGGCATGTTTTACCTCTACTACATAAGTGTCAATAATATGATCCCGAGGCAGGAACCAGTGGGCTACCTCTTCTTCATCCATCACAGGAGCAAGATTAAACTGTTTCAAGTAAGTGTTGATTAATTCTTGTACTGCTTTAGTATCTTTTTGTTCCATTGGTCTCAAACCTGAAGTCTTTGTGGCCTTATTGTAACAAAAGAAAAATAAATGTTAAGATGTTGAAAGGAAAACTGCATACACAGCAAAGGCTGAAAGTAGGTTGCAGAGTCACTCCATTTGTTACAATGCATTCATTATTAGCCTACTTTACCCCAGCCACCTAATTCATTATGCTATTTTACAAACGCCTTTCAATCAGAATTCCCTCTCTTCTAATTACTGAGACAGTCTGGGGCACTTCAATCTTTCTATTTCATTATTGAAACAACTTCATTTCTCCAGAGAAAGCGATACCATTGCCAACAGTCTAGACTTCATGCATTTTGTATTATTATCTTTTTTTTTTTTTCCAGGTCAGTCTTTATTTCTTATCTTCCTCTAAACTACCTACGGCCCAGACACAGAAACAAAACATAAAGCAACTTGCATATCAGAAGTTCATCTGCAAATAAGAACACTTGCAATTCAAACTTATGAAAATTACAGTCAAGCTACAAACTAAAGTCAGCTGATAATTAGAAATTATTTAACAAAAAAGTTCCACCTGTTCTTAACACTCGCAAATTCCCTTGCTAACTCAAATTTCTATACAAGCACAACTGCTTTTCTGTTAACAAGAAAGCTTCTCATAACTTACAGCTGCCTGACATTAAAAACCCACAATATTTTAACAAATAAAGTTATTTATTTAACTTTAAACATCAGAAGAGGAAAAAATAATTTTCCAGTACTATGCAATTAATGTTTAAACAAGCAAAGGTGATTAAAGATTTCTCCCCAGCTTTTTTTAGCTTTCCTGAATATTTCCTGTTAAGAGAGGCTAAGGCTTGCTCTCTTCAGGGCTCATTTATCCTGCTTCAGCTGTCTGAGCTACACACTTGGGCACATATCACATTAATCATAGCAAAGTCAATTGCAAGAGCAGCTAGGTAGAGACTTGATTACTGGAAACCTGAAATTAGTGTAGCTGATTATGTTCTGCTCAAAAGGCATTATTCTGGAGGAAGGATTTATCCACATACTCTGGGAGTCAGCAGCCAGATGAAAAATCAAGGCATATTTTGCCACAGCTCTGGTCTGTGTATTACATTTTAAACTTCCTGCTCTCCTGAGCAGCCTGGGACTATGGTTTGCCTCCACAACAGTGCATCATTTGGATTTTTAAATGCTCTAAATCCATAAGGGCATTGACCTGACATCAACATGACACTTCCTATGCTGTATTTCATTCACAACTTCCTTATGAACTACAAGGTAAAAGGTTAAGTTCGGCTCCTTCCAAGCCTTCCTCCTTCTTCTAAAGCCATACACTGGAGCAGGATGGGAGGAAAAGCAGCTGTGCTGGAACTTCTTTGTCCTCCAGAAACGCTCAGAATGGCCACCAGAAAATTATTATCTGCAGCCCCAGAAGCAAGGGAAAGTGTACAGAACTGGGCTAGAACTTGCTTCTCTGCTCCATGTATCAAGCCGCATTGGGCATATATTCCTGCAAGTATCCTGGCTCAGAATCTCAATCAGTCAGGAAAGGACATACAGAGACAAACATGCTTCTGTCCTTATTCCAAACACAGCCAAAATTTACGTCTTTCAGAAAACTCTTTGCTCAAGAGATTAAACACTTCAGAAAAAAAAAAATTATGTTCATAAGTACATGCACAAATGCAGCCTTCAGTGTGGGTGGTATTTATTAATTATGGTATTTATTATTTCTGAAAATCTTTTTAATTCAGACTGTTTAAGTGATTAGGAATGATTAACTCCTCTTAAAGGGAGATGAGCTCCCAGTGGCAATGCTATTCCAAGGACGCTAAGAACAGAGGTTAAAACGCAAGAAACAGTGTTTGGTGCTGAGGGACAGGACAGTATGGCCTGAATGAACAAACCTGTGTGACAGTACTGTTTATGATAACAGCCTGAAACTGAGAATAAAGATCCTCAATAGCACTTAAACCCTTTTTTAGGAAAAACACTCCAGAAGAACCCAAAGCACAAAACCTAAAGAGAAAAAATTAGCACAAAGATTAAAGCTTTATCTTCCATGGGAGAAGCTCCCAAGTCCAATCTAAAAATAAACAAACATCTGAGGCACATGGACTCCTACATCACTTCGTTTTAAAAGCTGATTTTCAAAGCACCTATTTTCTATTTGCACATCTCTGTACAATATGTTTGCCTTAGCTATATTTTATGAATGAGATATGATGTATTCTTTGTTTTCCATAATTTATTTTTCTGTTGAAATCTGGGTTTTACGACAAAGGAAGATGATCAGGGTACAACTGCTGTTGTTTCTAATGATTCTCTGTAGTTACACTTTTTGTACTGTAAGTAAGATCCCTATTCTTTAAACTGTTCTTTTCCTGTATTGTTTCCATGAGAAACAGTACTAGAGTTGCCACCAAAACTTATATTTGAAATTGTCTACTGCACTTTTTTAGACTATTAAAAATGCCTTCAAGATTTGATGGAACCTATATTTAGCTCTCTAAGATTAAAACCTAATTAATTTGGTTATTAATTCTTAAGCTCTGAAAACTGCTGCCCTACACACAAGGGAGAATCAGCATGTGCAGGCACAGGTAGCAAGTAGGCAGCTCAGGAGTTCAAAACAAGCCATGGCACGTGCTTTATACAGAGGCGTGCTTAGTGTATTAAATATATTAGCAGTAAGAGAACCTGCAGCATCAAGGTAAATATAATCAATGGACACAATTCTCCAAAGTCAGAGAAATCATTACAAAGTACTACAAGTAAGGAAAAAAGCCTTTTTTTTTAAAAAAAAACGAAAAGGGAGGGTTTGTTTAAATAAAAAGAGGTTTACTGATACAGTACAAGTAAAGGATATAAGGATATTCTGCAATCCCTCCAAACAGAAAGGTAGCTTTTACAAGCAAAGAAACTGTTTTCAATCATAAAGCTTAGACTAGCTTCTACAGGCTAATAATTACAGCCATGAGATTTTTTTAATAGTACAGATGAGACTACTTACAGTGACTTGCCCTGTCACGGAAATGCATCCTAAGGGTTTTTGCCAGCTTAACTATTAGCTGCAAACATGAGAAAAAATATTTTTAACTAACCTAGCTATGCCAGAACTTTTTTTTTTCCTGCTAGACCATGCAAATAAACAGTAGACAACATACTGAGGTGGTTTTTGCTGAGTCTGTTCATTGTAGAAGAACAACATTCTCTGACAGAACAGGAAAAGCTGTGAATTAGAGTGGAATCAACAATCCCACTGTACTCAGCCAACTTTCTGATGGACTTCTCTGAGCATTTTAAGACATGAACTGTTAATTTTCTGTTCCAGTAATCTTTTATCAGATTAATGATACCAGGAATAGTCTTAAGTATCTTCAGCTCAAGCCCACATGTTCATGAAGTCAAGGTTTCTCTTTTTTCTTTGTTTCTTTAAGGCTTTTAGGTCAAAATTTGTATTTTCTCCATACACAGATCTACATTTCCAGCAATAGTCTCTTCTGTTTAGTATAGCCGTTAAGGTCTTTTTCATCAGCCAGAGATGTTTTGGGTTTTTTTTTTAATGTCCTGCATGCACTGCCTTTCCACAGAAAAGCCTGTACTGTCAGAGACAGATGGAAGATTATTTTGGGCCTCACAATAACTGTGGGGATTCTCTAGAAGTCATACTGCTTACATCAGGAAGTCTGTAGAGCTTCATTGTTCTTTGTAGAGTCATGTTTCTACTCAAATGTGAAAATTTCACCTCCACCAATTTTCTTGGATTCAGCGATCGATGCCAATACCTGGAAATAAAATTAGTAATGAGATTAGATAGTATTTTAAGTGTTAGTTTTACTGGCATCCATTTCCCTAC